TAAGCTAGTAAAATACCAAACACTATGCTTCAAATAGCCTTTCAGTTGATAAAAACTTCCTCTGAAAGATGAACCTATTAACTTTCCTTCAATTATAATGATGAAAGTAATCCTGGGAAGAAAAGGATGAAGTTAATAATAGGTAACCACATAAAGCCAACTATTTCTAAAGATTAAATTGATTTTGTTTTCCTCTGAGGAATTCATTTTATGAAATTAGACATTATTTTGTACATATAATGACTTAATTGGCTGATAAATGTATCAAATTCCTCCCCGGGATTTGATCTGTGTTATAGTTCAGGTAAGAATTTGTGACAGAATTTGTGACACAAATAGATAAGCTTTCACATATCAAATATTTTTTGTTGTTCTCATTTATTTTTCTGATTTGAGGAGCTGCTAGTTTTCAGGTTTTATGGCAATGCCAGTTCTTTTCCCAGTAAAAGTTAACAAGGGTTGCTGCCAGTAACGTGTGTGTTGCACTGCATTTCCTAAGTTGGCTAAATTTCAGTAAACCCTGTGGAATAGAGATTATTTCATTTACGTTTTTAAAAGCTACTTGCTGTAAAATGTTATTCTGAGCTCCTTATCCTACAGTTTTCAGTATTTTAAAATATCCCTGGTAATATATTGCACTTACCATTCTCTATTATATTTTATTGTTCGGGGTGGGGCCGGGGCCGGGGGAGTGGTATGGAGGCTTGGCAAAAGTGAGACTTTTCTAGAATTTGAAAACTAATTCCCTCATTCCCAAATTTTTAATTATAAAAGGCCATATTTAATGAGGGCTGATGGAGAAGTATGAAGCCTTTCCTCTGGAACATTATGAATCATAAATAATTTGGTACTCCCAAATCTATCTCTGTCAACATCAGAGTATTAGGATCATTAACATCTGTGATCCTACAGTCTGAAGTCTCAGCGTGTTCCCAGCAGATAACAGAGTAATTATTAAATCTCTTCAAGTAAGACTTCGTTGTGGGTAAAGTCACTACTTCATAAGGAAAAAGAGCACGATCCCACATAAACTAAATCTAGGAAGAACTGTAATAGAAGGTCTCTGAATTGATGCGTCAGGCTTGATCTCCTGTTTTCCATTCATCTGAACAAGTAGATGTTGAATCATCTTATTTGGCTACCTGAATCCAAGATAGAAACTGATTAGTGTGCTGTAGTTGAGGTGTTTTTTTTTTTTTTTTTACTCTCCTGAGCTGATTTGAGCGAGACATTTCTTCTTAATCAACTGCTTCTATTCGCTTCTTTGTAATCCAAAGGCTTCTGGATGAAATCTTGATTGGTAGATCTTCGTTTTCCTGGTAGCTAACTTCAGTCACGAGGAATAAGAAATCAAGATCTCTTAACTTACCTGCCTTTTAAGAATGACGTAGGACTGCAACACTATCTTGGGATTCATCTACAAGGACCTTTTAAGTTTGATCAGAATGGTCCTTTGTCCTACAGCTGGAACCCCAGTTTTGGAGGAGGGAGCAAAGTGATGAAAGAGGTATAAATAGAAAGGGAAAGAATGAAAATAGGTAGGTTTGTAGCTCATCCTGAGTTGACAATAGACACAAAGTTCTCTGGTGCTGGTAAAAAGCAATGAATAAACTTTGTCCTAAGGATTTGAGAGCCGTTTTGAACAGATCCTTGGACTGCTTTACTAGTTGTTGCATGCAATCTGATAAGCAGATCATTGGTTTTCCAAGCTTGTTCTCCTAACTGGTTTTTAATTGATATAATCAGTACTAAATTTTCATGTATCTCTTTTTGTAGTTTTTGCGTAAGGTTTTAATTTACAGCTTTTTATATGTAGCCGTTCATCTGAGTACTTTGTTGGCCTCCTCAATAAGTTCAGATGAATTGGAGAAGCATATGTTTTCTTGGTTATGCTAGTTTGTCCTCACTGTATTCTGTTCACATAGATATTCATAGCTCCACCTTGAATTATATTTTTTCTATATTGAAATAGTAACGAAATAGGAATTTACTCTTCACAGTTACTGCTCTTGTCTTTAGAAGTACGTACCATGCTGCCTATCTTGCAGTTGTAACTAATTTAATAGATGACATATTTTGTGTTAGCAATTCTGTGACTTAATATTTAACTTTTTGCAGGTTTTCCAGTTCGTAATATCGTCTGGTTATTGGTAACTGATGGTCGTTTAAATCAAGTGTGATTCACCCTGTCTTTGATGCCATCATGTTTTGCAAGTAATGAATATGAGAAAATGTTAAAGTACAGATTGCTGTTACTGTTCCTTTTCCATTAAATCTGATGACCAGTGTACTCAGGACCTATGCTTTAGGAGTTTTTAATGTTATCAGACGTAATGTTTTCACTTTATTTTGACTGGAGCTAATCGAACCTTTTAGATCAGACTGTTAGGTCTCAAACTAGACACGGGGACGGGAAGGTCTAGGGAAGCAACCACAAACAGATAGTTACTGTCTCCAAAAAATTCGACTTAAGTGATTTAATTCACATAAAGATACACAGGCAAGGGTGGAGTTCAGTTCTTCAGAATATGATATTAACTATTACCTTAATCATTTATTGCCTGTATTCCAGCTGCTACAGCAAATGAGGTAGAACAGTTGCAGAAACCTGCAGAGCATGAAACAGCTGGTCCCCAAAGTGAGACATCCTTAATTCTGAGTCAGGAACAGGGAAAGTATTTCCTTTGGAAAATGTACTGTGTGGTCATGTAACTAATGACTGTACCATACATAGACAGGTCAAGAATAAGTTCTACAGACCACTTAGTTATATTTTTTCATGTTATTTGACATTTATTTTTTATATAAAGATCTCTCCTTAATTATTTAGGATTGTTGTCCTTGAAATTTTTAAAGGGAAAAAAAATCTGGGAGGTGGGGGGAACTGGTAGCATTTAGATGCTTATATGGTTAACACCAAGCTTGGGAATTTTTAGAGCTGCTGCATAAACTTCTGCCCTTAAGTTAATGAGAAACTTGTACTAGCAGGCTATCTGTTTCTGTAAGGACCAGCACTTGAGGGGGAGGAGATGTATACTTTGCTTTCAGAGGTATTGATGGTGGAAGAGGAATGGTGAGGGGCAGAAATCTTGGGTTTCATTGGAGGCTATGAAGAGGAGTGTGTGATAGCGGACACTTTAGTCCTGCCTGTTTTGTGTTCCACCCTCAGCTTGACTCTTCCTTCACTATCCCTTTTACCTGGTCTTACTCCTGCCCTAAATCCTTATCAGTTTTCATTCTATTTTCCTTCCATTCTGCCTATAAAAGCAAGCGCGTATAGCTCTTTAGAAAGGGCTATGCAGTGTTCCCATTTCATAGAGCTTATTGCATAAAAGATACTTGCTATGGCATGATTGAAAAGCATAGGCAGAACATTAGGTTATGTGATGGCACACAGCGTTTGAATTTTTCCTTCCTTGATCTGATCTGTGCGTGAAGTTGTTTCACCAGCTTGATCAGTTCTCAGACTGGAGAGTGTTTGAAATTTGTAAAAAGTTACAGCTGAAAATTCAGTAGCTTTGCAACAGCTGCATGGATAGACTGCCTTTCTAAAGTCATTTTAATTATATAGGTAGGAAAAAACTATTGTTTCAGCAGCCTCATTGTAGCAGAATTACAAGGCAAGTAACTGTGCTTTTAATGGCTGTGCAAATACAATCATACCCTAGATCACTTGCACCATTCTTGTTATGTGTGATGCAGTCAGCTTGCATTTTAAGTATTCCTTATGTGTTCAGCTTTATATAAATAGCAGCTGTTTCAAAGAGGTGCTGTCTATGGCAAGTGAAGTTAGAATATGCCGCCTTTGGAGGCAGAAAGTGCCCTGGATTGATATTTAATTAATGTGGAGCAATGTATCCCATAGTTTTGAGAAGAGACTGCAGAAAGTACTAGCTTCCCTGGAAGCAGCAGAAAGCCTTAATTCGTAGACAATACTGTATTGTCAACACGGTGCTGGTTCAGAAAAAAAAACACATGTTTGGCAAATATTTAAAGGCCACATTTTGTGTAATTGGTTCAGCCTTTGAAAATTATTAACTTCTTTGTGTTAAAGGATGTACACAGCAATGCAAGATTTTATCTTGACAGTCTCATGCTTTTGTCTTCTACCAGCAAGGATGTATTTGTGGAATTTTTTTTTAGCTCCTCAAAGTGTAGTATACTAAATGCTTTGTAATCATTTCAGTACTGATGAGGTATGGGAAAGCATTTAATTTGTAAAGCTGGATTATACAGGAGCTGTGGCATTAGCCAGTGAAAATGAATGGAACTTTTCATATCAAGTTATTTAAAAGTATGTGTTTCTATTTAGCTTTAGTCATCTTTTATGTTGTGAAATCTGGGCAGAGGTAATACATGCTTTCTGGACTATCCAGCTAATCTGCAAATAAGGCTGTGCAAAACACAGAATAAATGTTATTGACAGCCATTCTCTCTATTATCATTTTGTAATCTTTTTGCTAATTAGCTTCCTTCCTTTTTTTTTGTTAGCATATCATAGTTATTTAGATTAATGGAAAAGTTGACTGGGCATTGTTAATACCTAATTGCAACCAAGGATGTATGACTTATAAATGGTAAATTCTTTAAAGCACTTACAAACAAAATTTGGAGTCCTGATTTGGCTCCTCTATAGCTTCTCCAGGAAATGTATGCTGTATGTGTCCTTCAGCTGAGGAAATTAGTTCCCTGCTTGAGCTTTGTAGAACTGTCCACTAACCCAACAAAAATGTATCGCTAATCAGTTCATAAGGAAAAAATTGTATTTAGGTGTGGAATCCAAATGTGAAAGTATTTTTTCAGAAGGCAAACCAATATCTAGAAAACTCTTCACCACCATATAACACGACTCTGCATTTTTGAGATGATGATCAATGAAATTTAAAAGCGTGTTTATTAGAAATATTAATTCTGTGTAATAATAACTTTGATAGTTTCGGTTACAAAAGAAGTTATATATGAAATGATTAATGCTTTATCTCCCTTTTTCTCTGTTCTAGGCTTAAAAGAAGCATAAGCAATCGGGTTACAGCTCTGACGTTTTGGAGCGCAAGTGATGTTAAAACAATTTGAATGTATTGGAGCATGGCTACTTCTTAAAATGGAAAAGTTAGAGGAAATTATTGCTTATCAAAACCTACTGAATATCTGAATTTTCTAGACATCCTGCATTTAAACGTGTCCTTAAATGTCCATGATTAAGATCTCATGCAACCATTGTATATTTTGGAGACTATTCTCCGAAAGAGAACTGTGCATTTAAAAAGCAGAAATGACTGTTTTTTCTCTTGGAACTTACTAAGGTTGAACATACTGAAAGATCATGACCAGCTTGAAGCGGTCCCAGACCGAACGGGCTGTTGCCACTGGGGTATCAGTCGGAACAGATGGCACCTCAAAAGTCCACTCGGATGACTTTTATATGAGGCGCTTTAGGTCACAGAATGGCAGCTTAGGATCTGCAGTCATGGCGCCAGTTGGACCTCCTCGCAATGAAAGTTCCCATCACGTTACCTCTACCCCTGGAGTCCCTAAGATGGGGGTCAGGGCAAGGATTGCTGATTGGCCCCCAAGGAAGGAGAACATCAAGGAAACAAGCAGATCTAGTCAAGATATTGACACATCAAGTTGCCTTGACAGCATGTCTTCTAAAAGCAGTCCTGGGAGTCAGGGAAGCTCTGTTAACCTGAATGCTAGTGATTCTGTCATGTTAAAGAGCATCCAGAGCACACTTAAAAACAAGACCAGACAATCTGATAATCTAGACTCCAGGTTTCTTACACCTGATGGCTATCCTAGTTCCCCAAGGAAAGCTCTTCGCAGAATAAGACAACGCAGCAACAGCGACATTACCATAAGTGAGCTTGATGTGGATAGTTTTGATGAATGTATTTCACCCACTTTCAAATCTGGACCATCTCTGCACAGGGAGTATGGCAGCACATCTTCCATAGATAAGCAGGGAACTTCAGGGGAAAGTTTTTTTGACTTATTGAAGGGCTATAAAGATGAAAAGTCTGATCAGAGAAGCCCAGCCACAACTAAGCTCAGTGAACTCCTGATTGCCAGTGGAAGCAAGGGTTCAGGATTCTCTTTAGATGTGATAGATGGACCTATTACTCAAAGGGAAAACCTGAGACTCTTTAAGGAAAGGGAGAAGCCACTCAAGAGACGCTCAAAATCAGAGACAGGAGATTCATCCATTTTTCGTAAGCTGCGCAATGCCAAAGGTGAAGGGGAGCTTGGGAAGTCTTCAGATCTTGAAGATAACAGGTCAGAAGATAGCATGAAGCCTTGGACTTGTCCAAAGTGTTTTGCTCATTATGATGTACAGAGTATTTTATTTGATTTAAATGAAGCGGCAATCAACAGGCATAATGTTATTAAAAGAAGGAACACAACCACAGGTGCATCTGCTGCTGCTGTAGCATCGCTTGTCTCTGGACCCTTGTCTCATTCTGCAAGTTTCAACTCTCCAATGGGCAGCACTGAAGACCTGAATTCAAAAGGAAATCTCAATATGGACCAGGGGGATGATAAAAGCAATGAACTTGTGATGAGTTGTCCTTATTTTCGTAATGAGATTGGTGGGGAAGGGGAGAGGAAGATCAGCCTTTCCAAATCTAATTCAGGTTCCTTCAGTGGGTGTGAAAGTGCCTCGTTTGAGTCAACTCTGAGTTCTCATTGCACGAATGCCGGAGTAGCGGTTCTGGAAGTTCCCAAGGAGAATCTGATTTTACATCTAGACAGAGTGAAAAGATACATCGTTGAACATGTAGACCTTGGTGCATATTATTATCGAAAATTCTTCTATCAGAAAGGTAGGTAAATTTTATTTCTCCTTGTATTTTATTAATGATTTTTTTGTTTTACCAACATACAAAATTCAGCTGATGTATAACAGTATTTGCAAGAATTATATACTTTTTTAATCATCAGTGCTTAAACATGGTATATTTTACTGATCAGTACATGCTATGTCTAATAGTGTCTTTCACAGTGTTGGAGTGGAAAAGTGTTGATGAATTTAGTACTGATACACATAACAGCAATGGCTACAAATTATAATGTCTTGAAATGTGGCTTTGGTATCCATGGGAGTGGGCAGGGGTTGGCACTTGAAAGATTAAAAAAGAAAATAAAATTCTAAAATACAAGAACTTTCTTCCCTCTGCGTCAAGACTTGATGTACTGAGGATTTAGTGGAATGTGCAGCTTTGGAAAGTTAGCATTTACAATAACCTTTGGACATTTTAATATCTTAAATTAAAAAAAAAACACGTTTTGAAATGGATGGTTGTCAATAATAATCTCTTCCTCACTCACTATTTTCATTATAGCCATCGTTCTAGAAAGAAAATTCTAATTTGTCAGATTCGCAGAAAGAAACTATCACTATATACATAACTATATATATACACACACGTATATATATGTTGCAATGACAACAATGTATCTGAAAAAACAGAGTACAATTCTCTTATCCCATGGTTCTACTGAAACCAAGGATTATAATTTCCACTGGAGGTATGCAGGGGGAAAAAAATCGGATCAAAGCTTTTTGACTTATAGAAACAAGCAAAACCCAAACATTACCAAGATACCCCCCCTCACCAAAATGTTGCTGGCACCATGAGATGCAGATCTCTGTTCTTCCTGATTCTGAAAATGATCAAAAAGGAGTGCAGACCAAAGTCCTTTTAAAGTTTAAGAGAGTTCTGTCTGCAGGATTGTGTGCCTTGCTGTGGTATCTCCTGATGGATAGAATTGGTCTAATGACTGACTTGAAGTGTGCTTGTTCCTTAGCTACCAATGATCAGGATTGGGTTTCACCTCTTTAGTGAAAGCAGCTCAAAAGAGCTTGTTTCCTGCAGATTAAAGCAACAGGGGTGCCTGGTTAAAATAAGTGGATGGTCAGTTCAAAAAAACTTCAATTTGTTAACTGTGTGTAACAGCTAATAATCTGCTCTCCCATTTTTCCCTTGCCTCAAAATATGTCCATCTCTCGCCTCTTTTTCCCTGCATGGTCCCTTGGTTGTGTGGCTCTTGTCACGCTTTCCATAGTCTCCTCTTTCTGCAGTCTTTCTAGGGCTGAGAGGTGAGAGAGAGTGCATGGTTTTTGAGAGTGCTGATCCACATCCTTTGGAGAGAAAGGAGTGAGGCAAAATACTGGTTTCCTGAGAACAGTAAGCCAGATGTGCAATATAGGATGAGATATGTTTGGAGGGGAGAGCCTGAGAAGAGAGACCTTTGCCTGCGATTACCTTCCTGTCTATCTCCCTCCAGAACAATTTGATTCCTTATCACTCTGGTGAGTTTTGCAATCAGCAACTAAAGGTGCAGTTTCATGGTACAGCTGACCTGATTTAACAGCATTTCAGTACTAAAAGAGGAAGACTTTATTCCTCCCCTTTCCTTGTACCAGTTCTCTTGTTTTCTGGAAACTTGATAAGCCAGTTCGGTTTACTATAACCAAGCAGAAATCTTGTCATCACAATAAATTTGCTTTTTATTGCTTGGTTATTTCTTTCCAGTTTTAGTGAGTCAAATCAGCTTTCCTTGCAGTCAGAGAAGTGCCCAAACCCCACAGTTCTACAAGTACCAAATACATTTTGTTGACCACCCAGTGTATTGTCTTTCCCCAGGCAAACTTTAGACTTAATCTGAAAGAGACGGGATAGTGATAAAACTTAAAGCAGCATAATAGAATGTTGTGCTTTAACCCCAGTCGGCAACTAAGCACCACACAGCGACTCACACACACACACACACACACACACCCGGTGGGATGGGGGAGAGAATCAGAAGAGCAAAAGCAAGAAAACTCATGGGTTGAGATAAGAACACTTTAATACTTGAAATAATAGAATAATAATAACAATAATAAATTGTAATGGAAAGTAAAACAACGAGAGAGAGGAGAAAAAAAACAGGAAAAAGAAAAAAAAAAATTGATACAACCACTTCCCCCCCCCCGACCGATGCCCAGCCAGTCCCCGAGCAGCGGCCCCCCTGGCCAGCTTCCCCCAGTTTATGTACTGAGCATGACGTCACATGGTATGGAATGTCCCTGTGGCCAGTTTGGGTCAGCTGTCCTGGCTGTACCCCCTCCCAGCTTCTTGTGCACCTCCTCGCTGACAGAGTATCAACATTATTCTCATGCTAAATCCAAAACACAGCACTGTACCAGCTACTAGGAAAAAAATTAATTCTATCCCAGCTGAAACCAGGACACAGGAAAAAAAAAATCAAGGAAGTCAGTTGTAACTGAAAGTTATTACAACATGAAGCAAGTAATGATGCAGAAACTTCCTTGTTTGAAGAGGAGGTTGGATGTTACGAATGGAATAGACAGTGATGAAAGACAGTTTCAGTGGGATCAGCTAGTCAAGTCAGCAGGCCTTGGGTAATTTTATAGTCTTAAAAGTATGAAGCAAAGAATTCTGATTCAGCAACGATAACTTTTGAAGATCTCAAACCAGGAAAATATCACAGAATTGGAGAACTACTGAAGTAATCCTAGAGCTTGTAAAGAATAAAAAGCAATGACCCGGAGAACTGTAATCCTTTAGCTTGTTTTCATTCCAACTTGAAATAACAAAGCAGGTAATTTGGGACTATATCAACAAAGAACTGCCAGTTAAAAATCATTAACGGTGCCAGTCAGCATGATTTAACGAAAAGTAGGTCTTGTCACAAAAAAAAACCCCATACTGTTAATCTTTTGTGTCTTAGAAAAAAAGAAAAAGAATGAAAGCCATTGCATTGATATAGTCCATTTTAATTTCTCCAAGGTAATTTGGTGACATGCTGATGGTGACTGGACTGAAATCTTTAATTATATGGAAGTAATAGCTCATTCTTTGCAGGTATTGTTACTTGGATGATAGATAGATGCATCTCAAATTTTAGCAGTGTACGGGGGAGGTATCAGTGAGCTGGAGTATTACTAACATGGTCCAAATTAATTAAAATATCTTAATCTAGTTAGTGTAAAAATATTTGCATGTGACATTTATGGATGAGTCTTGTGTAAGTTCATCGATGAACGCAAATGGATGAGCATTTGTATGCAAAGGAAATACTGAGGTGACATCAACGTATTATTTGACCCTTTACAGAGCAGTGGTAAAACTAGTGATAAATAATATTCTGGCCTGGTGTCCAGAGTTCTAAATGTGAAAATACTGGTGGAAACAGTTTAGTGGAGGTTAGAAAAATGGTACAAATATTGGGAGAAGAACTTTATAACAGTAGTTCCCAAGGTTGGATTCAGCTCCTCTACTTTATATCTGAGCTAATTGTGCAGATTCCCTTTGTACTCACTGGAGAGAAATGAACCTTGCAGGATGATACGAATGGCAGTCTTACTTCCCTCAGTTCACAGAAGGCTCATACACAACTAACTCACATGGAGATGTTTATACTTGCACGAGATGAATGCTACTCTTATATTGCAAAAGATGTATTTGCAAGGTGACTCTTTAAAGCTGTATTCAAAAGGTGTATTTGGTAGGGGGACTTGTAATTAGAAGTCTTAAGTCTAGACATTTATAAGCACTGAGATGTGGTAATACTAGTGCTAAAAAAAGAGGGGGGGGAAGCCAGCACAAGAACAAATTTGTGAAAGTTGCACAAATTTGACCTTGAAATAAGATTAAGCTTGGAACAAAAAAGATAACTATACACGGGAAAAACTTATTAAAGGAAGCTGTTCGTTGTTTGAATTTTACATGGCAGTCAGTTTTTTGTATGACGTTTTCCCTTCTCTTCTTAACTTCAATGCCTGAAAAGACAATTTCTGACCTGTTTGAGTAAAGGTAACAGGGTCTCTTCTGGCATCTCTGTTTCTTAATCTGACAATCCCTTCTTTTAAGATGCCTCTTTATTGGAGGGGTTTGCAGCTCATATAGATGTAGTAGTAAGGACAGAGTAAGGCTGGCTTCAGTTCAGTGCCATAATTTATATGTCCTTTCAGCTCTTGCTGCTTGTTGTGTCCAAGGGCAACTGTGTAATCTGGACCCTCTGGAGTGAAACCAGAATGCTGGCTGAAATACACACACAAATGAGATCATTAATAACAATAAAAATGTTTCAAAGTCTGCTGGTACTGGGCAAAACTTTAAAAATCTGATTATTGAAATAAAAGATTTTTTTTCTCTAAACATGGTGCTTTTAGAATTAATCAGAAGGAAAACGGGTTGGATTTGTTTGGGGGTTTTTTCTTTTCTACACAGTGGCACCAAATGTAAGGGCAGGGAAGAGGCAAGGGAAGATTTCAAGAAGCTACCTGGCAATTGGTTTAGGGCTACTTTCTGGACTATTTTTTTCCTTGTAGAGCATTCTACCATTTTTGTTTGTCCTATGGTTGTGATAAGTATAAAACCTTGCAACTAATCTTCTAAGAAAATACATGTTAAGACAGCTGATGAACTTCAGCTTTGATAAAAAGTACATTTTTTGACAGAAAGGAGGAACAAGTTGTTCAGGCCTTCTTACTGAAATGTAAGAAAAGTTGTCTTTTTGTGTGAGAAAGTGAGATTCTTATTTAAATACATAACTTTCTACGCCCTGCAATTCATTTCATACTGTTGACCGCAATGCTGCAGTTTATTTAAAAAAAAAAAAAGAGAGAGAGAGAAGCAAAACCCTTGAACGCACTGCTTCTGGACATAAAATTACAGTTCCCAGAGAAGGGAAGAGTCATCTTAGGTCAATCCAAAACTTCTAGTCCTATCTTCTGGCAAACACCAGTAACAGATACTGAAGGAAGGGTAAGAATAAGGCAAAGGCATAGTGATTCTTTTCGGGTGTACTTTGCCAGCCTCTGGAGATGTATAGATAATGGACTTAACCTGGTGATAGTATCATTTGTATTTGGTAGTCTTTGGACTTATCTTCCAGGCATTTATCCAGTTGTCTGTTACCCCACATAAACTTTTAGCATTCACAGTACTCCTGCAGCAGCAAGGAGATCTGCAGCTTGACTACACTGGTCTTAAAGAGCCAGTTTTTAATGGCTTTGTCTACTGGCTTCCAGAATGAAAACTGGGATCATCAGATTAAACAGTCTCACTGCTAGGTGAAAAAGTTTGGTTTTCTCACCTTTCCTTGCTAGGTGTTATTTTGTAAACCTCAACCATATTATTCCCCTCAATCACTTTTTGTTGGCCTTCTCTGAACCTTTTCAAGTTGAGATCAGGGCACAGTGTTTAAGACAGAAGCAAACCGCAGACTTACATGGTATCATGTTTTCTGTTTTGTACTTAGAAATTCCGAATGTCTGGCCATAACTTATCATCGAGACTTGAATTTCTTTCCCATGCATGGGTAAAAGCTTTGCATATGTATTCTGGATGAAGTCTTATAAATGTTTGTACATTTAAGTAACGGGTTAATTATTAGGAATACAGTATTTTTCAAGGAAAGCCATGCTTATTAGCCTATCTATAGCTTGATATTAAAGACTTATTTATTATCAATAATAAAACCATAGGGATGGAAAAAGTTGATTCCATCAGCTTGTCTAAGTGCTGCTTAGTAAAGAGAACATATCGCTCCGGAGGAGCAGTCTATTCTCTCTGTCCCCCCAGTTGTGCCTGGGAATTATGGTTCTCATGGAGAGAACCAAGAGCATCCATTTAGCTTTGGTCATCATCAGGCAGTAGTTGCTAACATCGTTACCATTTAGGACAAATTTGAATTACTGGCCTAGAATGAAAGACTTGACTGAGAAGTAAATAGTTTCCTGAGCTGGTTTTATAATGAATGAGCTGTTGGTCAGCTTTCCTTTAACTGTTGGCAGCCAGTAAAAAAACTCTTTGGTCTAATGCTTTAAATTGCTGCATATTCTGTCCCCAAATTGGTACCTTTCAAGTATGTGGCTAGACTTCCAGAAAATTTACAGTTAACAGTCTGGTCATGAGCAACAGTCTGAAGATATTACAGGACTGAGCTCTAAAAATGCTGCCCTCTTGTTTCCAGAGAACTGCTGGGCAGAGTTGTCCAGTGCTGTAAATGCTGCGGTAGGATTAGAGGAAAACGCTTGATGCAGAGTTTCATTCTGAAGCGATATGTTTGGGATTTTTACTTCTAGTCTGGGAGTACAAAATACATCAATTGAACGTGATATCCAAAGGTAAATAGAATAAAAGCACAAAAGAACCTCCTTGCTCAAAATAAAGTGCGTTTGCTTGGATTTCCTTTGCAAGGGAAACTCATAAATATCTGCCAGGAAAATGAGTATTTTCACTTAAGTTCTTTCACTGGAAGTGCCTTTTCAATTATATGGTAAATATTTAATTATTTTTAGAAGTATGTATAATCTGTTTTAGTGACCAGGTACAAGCAATTAACTATTTCTTTTTGGCATGGATTTATAAACTAACTTATGGCTGTTGCTGGTTGTCTCCTGAATGTCTTTTAATTAAATAATTTTTCGACAGTTTAAATGAAATAATGTCAAGCTTGAGAAGTGTTGCTTTCAATGAGGTTCTGTGTGGGATGGAGGAAAAAGCTGTCTTCTATGCTATTCATGTTTGGCATAAAATTCTTGAATTCTAGTTGTGAAGTAGCCCTTGTTTTTACAATAAAACTCCTAATTAACTACCTTTTAGATTGGATGTTAAGCTTTGTGCACTTAAATTCTGCTACTGCTTTTCCTGCTATAGGAAAGAGAAAATGGTTGGATGCAAGGAAATTCAGGATGTAGTGGAAAATCAGGTGGAGATGCAAGAAACTCTGTACCACAGGGAAAAGTAGCCAGATACTGGGGTATATACTCCAGCTTGCAGAATGAATACAGAAGTGGGGTAGAGGAGGAGAAAGAGAATAAAGTCGAAGGTAAAGAATGAATGACCCTGTAGTAAATGTGAATAGAGGAGGGGACAATGTGAGTAGAAGAGAGGACTGAGGAGATGCATAGGAGATCGAGAAAAACAACTGTCCAGTGTAGAG